GATTTTGACTAAATCAAAAATGAAATAAACGCCTATGAAACACCTACATTGGACTGAAACTTTCAGATTAACTACAGCAGATTGTGTTCCGACATAATGTTTTCTATTAGTGTTCTAGTACCGGTTCAACGCAGTACCAACCAGCTGTATAGAATTTTATTCTTTCGTCAGATTTTGAACCTTCTGAATTCGTTTCATTTGTGAATGTGTCGGATGCAATGCGGAAGGCATGTATGTTGACACTCCTCTTAACAGGCCTGCTAGAGACTCTATCAGCCAGTAAAGGTTTCTGACAATCTTAGTACGGCCTTTTAATTTTGGAAGTGTAAGTTGATCCTACTAGGTAAAGAAGACACATCGGTTTTTAAAATCATTTATGATGTTTAGAGATGGTGAAGATGAAAATGAAACGAATTTCCCAAAAGTCTCACATTTCTTCTCTATGCTACGAGTATCAGTAAAAAAGTGTATTTCTCCGTATAGTGTGTTCCTAAAAACTGCATGTTCATGCTTCACAATGAACATGTCGTCCACCCAGCCGTCAAAGTTGACATTTAATGACATAATCTTGTCAAGGTGCGCGCGCGCGGCTTCGGCGTCTGTCAAGGCTGCGCGGGTCTTGACCTAAGCGCTACAAATATCTGAAAGAAGAGAGAAACAGCGGTTATTCTAAGCCTAATGTCTAGCCAAATCTTGAAATGCCAAACCAATGACGTGTCGTTAGCATAAAATATAGTATGTTATTAGTAAATACACCTGTTTAACAGCATGTGACAAGCAAATAAATAAATAAAATAATATTCCTCGTTATTATTAGGTAGTCTACTCTACATTGTAGAGTCTACAATGTCTAGCTAGATGTTGAAAAAAATATAACTTCTTGTTTCTCGGAAACCTCCTGCTAGCACCATATTTTAATGGATATCGCCTGTCAATGAATGAGGACTTTATTTATTCTGCATTTAAGTTTACATTTCATCTGTGTTCATTTTTCATGTACTTTATATTGTCGTTCAGTATCCCATTGAATGCAAATGTGCCACAAAAGGCGTTCGCGAGCGGCGTGAATGCGTGCGTAATATCCAATTTAAAATGATTTAGTGGTTTACTTTTGGCAAACTGTTGGCAAAAAGTTTGAAAACTGCAGACCTTAAGGATAGTTTTGGACCACAATATCCATTTAACAACACATAATGATTGGTAACTATTAATGAGTTCAAGACAATCGATGTGTCATCTTTATTTACATGAATATTTACAAGGCTGTCACAGTATATTTTGGTAGCCTCATGTTCTATTTTTTCCAACACATCTTTAATGAATTCATTTTATACACGCCATCAAATATACGACTAAAAACATTCACATTTAAATACCAAAACATCAAAACCAATCGATAATAATAATATACAAATTGTAAAGATGTGAGCGATGCGCGCGCGCGGTCGAATTGATATAAATTCGCGCGAAGAGCTTTTTTTGACGTTAATGTCCGCGAAACCGATAAAATCACTGTTTATTGCCGAAATAAGATAGGCGATCGTCGTACGACATTCAAAAGCGATATCATCAAGAACTCTGTTGTACCGTTTGCTTTAAAAATACTTTTTCGTCACCATTCAGAATTATTTTATTGATGTTTAAATCGGGGTGTAAATGGTGATGGTCTTCAACAAATGTCAAAACACATGGTAATAAAAAAAAACTCTTGACCCTAATGAAAATGAAAACTTGACACTGGCTAAAGGTGCAGACCGCATGAAGCCGTTAACCGAACAAAAAAATAATTTTATTGGAATAAATTCGATATCCATATTATTATTTCATTTGTTTTTCTATAAGCAGCATTTAATGTAGAGATGCCAGTATGTGCTCGTACCAAAAATAACAAAAATAATTTTAAAATTCGACATGCTTGAAAAAATGTTTCAAATGTTTCTAAAGGTATTTCGATTTTTAGGTTACCTCTTTTAAATTATTTTAATTACCCGCAATAATGAACACGTTGTATGCGATACCCATAAAGGGTTTTATGGCATAAAACCCTTTAATGGAAATTGTTTAATTGTTTCACTTCGACCGGAATTCATGTCAACCATCCACGCTGCGTTTTAAAGTTTAATTGATTTTTAATGACGTGTTAAATGGGTGTTTATTGGCCCAATTACCTAATTAGTTTTTATTGTACTACACTCGCGAGCAAAAGTATGGAATCACTTACATGAAGTTGTTTCCACGCGATCTTGTGTACTAACGAATTTGTTAGGAACAAAAAAAGTGGCACCATTTTAAAGATTAAACTTTTATCTTTAAATTGATACCAAATTCGTTTAAATCACACCAGTATTTAAAAAGATATCCTGGCTAATGTGAAGAAGTAACGAAAAAGACATGTATGAACTGTTTGATACGTCGCGAGTTGCGGCCTATTTACCCCCTATAAAAGCACGCGTTTTCGGATTTTTGCTTTCACACGTTGATTCATACACATCTCCGCTTCATTTGACTCTTTACCTGGGATTCTACACCTTCAGAAACAGCACAAATCGTTGCACTATTGCAAGAAGGGCTCAGCCAGCGGGCTGTCGCACGTCAGCGCCACATAAGCCAGTCCTGGGTTTCGAAAGTTTTAAGACGCTTTCGGGAGACTGGTGGCTTTATCCCGAGACCAAGTTCTGAACAGCGCCGGCGCACATCGCAGAGGGAAGACCGTTTTTTCATGTCAACCTCTCTATGAAATCGTCATTTGACTGGAATCGACGTCCAGTAAGAGCTCAGAAATGTTCGTAGGATAGCTGTTAGCGAGTAGACAGTTTGTCTAAGACATAAGCAATAGAATTTAACTCCAAAAAGGCCTGCCACAGGCTCGAAACTGACGGCAGGTCACCGATAAGCACGCTTTCAATTTGCTCGTACACATCTCGATGTTAAGTCGAGCAAGCCACCCCCATAAGCCACTGTTTCAGCGAACCAGCACTGCACAAATCGCTCCTCAGGCCGCCTATAAACCCGACCTCTTCGACTGCTGCCCTGCAAACACAGTTTGCATTCATCGGAGAACAGAACTCGCCTCCATTACTCGCCTTCCCATCGAGATGTGTACGAGCAAATTGAAAGGGTGCTTATCGGTGACCTGCCGTCAGTTTCGAGCCTGTGGCAGGCCTTTTTGGAGTCAAATTCTATTGCTTATATCTTAGACGAACTGTCCACTCGCTAACAGCTATCTTACGAACATTTCTGAGCTCTTGATGGACATCGATTCCAGTCAAATGACGATTTCATAGAGAGGTTGACATGAAAAAACGGTCTTCCCTCTGCGATGTGCACCGGCGCTGTTCAGAACTTGGTCTCGGGATAAAGCCACTAGTCTCCCGAAAGCGTCTTGAAACTTTCGAAACCCAGGACTGGCTTATGTGGCGCTGACGTGCGACAGCCCGCTGGCTGAGCCCTTCTTGCAATAGTGCAACGATTTGTGCTGCTTCTGAAGGTGTAGAATCCCAGGTAAAGTGTCAAAAGAAGCGGAGATGTGTATGAATCATCGTGTGAAAGCAAAAATCTAAAAACGCGTGCTTTTATAGGGGTTAAATAGGCCGCAACTCGCGACGTATCAAACAGTTCATACATGTCTTTTTCGTTACTTCTTCACATCAGCCGGGATATCTTTTTAAATACTGGTGTGATTTAAATGAATTTGGTATCAATTTAAAGATAAAAGTTTAATCTTTAAAATGGTGCCACTTTTTTTGTTACTAACAAATTCGTTAGTACACAAATTCGCGTGGAAACAACTTCATGTAAGTGATTCCATAGTTTTGCTCGCGAGTGTATATGGTAGCATTCTCACGGTTCGATTGTAAAGGACAATGACCAAAAATGTATGGAGTGTGGTCCAAATGTCCACCACTAACGAGACCTATGTAGTAAAATAGTCTACTAAATACTGATTCAGTATAACCAAACCGCAATCAAAAATATGCTGTCAGTAAAAAGTTATGACTGAAGGAAAAGCCATGTTTTTAACCTTTTCATCCGAAAAATGTTCTTGATATCATTCTATCTATCGCACATTTTGGACTAATCTATGCATGTTATGTCATGTCGCTTAGTGTGCCGTGTTACATTCTCGCTAAAAGAAAAAAAAATGAACTCAGAAGAAAGACGACAATATTGGAATTATGGCCGGGTGGTCGCTGCTCCATCCCTTGGTTGTAGGGTGAAGTTATGTAACCTAAAACCATCCTTGATAAATGGGCTATCCATTACAAAAAGATTTTTTCAAATCGGACCAGTAGTTCCCGAGATTAGCGCGTAAACTACTACAATTTTTCATACAGTCATAACTTTTTACTGACAGCTTATTTTTTTTTCGTCCCATACTGAAAGTTAATCTCTATTTAATGGACTAATAAGCCAATATAGGTCTCATTAGTGGTGGACATTTGGACCACTTTTGGTCATTGTCCTTTACTGCATTTAAAAAATTATAATATAGTTTTTTGGTTCTATAATCTTGAGATGAGATGATAATTTGAGCCTAAAGTCTGGTTTCAAATACTAGGAAATTAATATTTAACTTTGGTGGTCTCACCAAAGTTAAATATTAATTTCCTAGTGGGGAGGCAAGGATTCTTATGTTTACCGCCTTGTTACATTTTTTTATGACACCATCACTGACACAGGGTGTGCATGAGAGTAATTCTTGAAGTTATTAATAATACTGTAACACAGGATGTGTCGACAGAACATAGAGCAATCCTCGAAAATATGAAATCAAGTTCCTTTGTTTTGAGAGCAACACTGAAACTAACTGGATGCTATAAATTTTCACGAAATTCATCAACATACAAAATGTTCAATGCCCACAATTTCCCGTGTTTTTGTCATTTGTGTTTATGTTACTGGTCGCTTACTTAGTTATATTTCACCTACACCCTGTATAAGCGTTGACCTGTACCAACCTAATGGGCAGACTTATCATTTCTCATTTTTATTGTTCCCAGATGGAAATGAGGCGATACAGGTCCGGCGGGTCGTCCTTCTTAACATACTGGATATTTCTTTTGCAAGTGAGTAAGTTATTACACTTTAATATTTTTATTACATTTGATTTGCATTTAATTTTGTATTATTATGGTAGAGTTTTGGTGTAATGGTGTTAATAGCCAAATAACGTTGGTTCGTCCCAATTCCGAAGCTATCGGATATCGAGTGCATTCGATGACATACTTAACTACCTAAATACCTTGATAAGAATCAGAATCATACTAATTTTTTTTTGTTTTAGAAATTAGTAGCTTTCGTCGTTTTTGCTTCATGACCATGGTTATTAGTTGCGCTGGCTAAAACCCGTCTTTAAATGCACTCATACTGCATACTTTGTCGTTTAAAAACAAAACAAATCCATGTAGCATATACTTCTAGATCGTTTCTTCCACGAAGACGCGCCCCACTATTCGTCCGCTAATGTTTGAGTGTTATCGATACACGCTAAATTATCCATGAGTGCACACGCACACTACAATAATGACGCTCGGATTGCTCGGATCAAACTCCCCGCACCCCGCGCTTCCCTCGACCAAAAATTGGTGAGGCGCGTCTTCGTTGATGAAACGATCTATACACGCCCAAAACCAGAGGATTTTGCTTAAGTTCCCCAGGTTGGCCAAACGTATTGAGGAGGCTATGTGATTTAGCTACGTGCTTTGTGTACTAGAGGTCATGTAGAGTGGTTTCAGCATTCTCTTACTGCCTAGCTCGCATAAATATTTATAACTTTGAATATTTTAAAGCCTGTAAACCTTTGAAAAAGAGGCTGACAATAGTGACTGAGTTTCTTGCGCTGCTTCTTCTCAGCACTGGCCCATTTATTGTCCTGAAGCAGTGGACAGTAGGGTTAATACTGGGACGTGTAAAAGTGCTTTTTTTAAGCCTATTTACAGAAATAAATGAGTTTTATGAGTTTTCTTGTCTTCCAGATGTTAGGCAGCGCCCGCCGCGGGGCGGAGGGCCACGGGCGGCTCATGGACCCACCAGCCCGCAACTCCATGTGGCGGTTCGGCTTCCCAAACCCCGTGAACTACAACGACAACGAGCTCTTCTGTGGCGGGTATGCTGGTAGGTATGGTTGTTGATATTCTTCTCTTTTATTGTAGAGAAAACTTTTTAGTGTATGGTCCTTTAAACCTTAGTACGTTGAAAGAAGAGAATGTTGGCGAATATGTTGAGATGAAGAAAACTCTCACTTTATTTTTAGAACACTGTTTTTGTAACATTTATTTAACAACAAGACTCACAAGGAACAAGATACTTGTTCCTTGTGAGTGTTCAAATATCATGCGAAAAAGAATACTTGATGTATAAATTTGCCTGAGAAGTGGCTTTAGCGATGTGATAAACTGCTAAGTATACCGCAAGTCCGCACATATCTACCGAACCGAATGTGATTGTCTCAAGGACAAAAAATACAGCACGATAACGGTGCGAAGTTAGAGAAGTTGTTAGAACTAAACGTTTTAGCAACAAAAGGATAGTGTCAGTTTGCACAATTTATTTTTCAAGTACATTTGCTCAAGTAAGCTTTTTTAGGTCACATTCCAACTTTTTTTGCCGAGTGCATTCATATTAAATGAGGGTTACAGTATTAGCTTATACTAGGCACGATTGTGATCAATTTGTAAAGACACATCAGAAAATATACATTGTTGTAAACGAAGTTTAAATTCGAAAGTCATAATTAACAGCTTATTCTTTGAAATCCTAGCTTTTTTAAAAATACATATGGAAAGCATGTCGAATCCGATTAGAATGTCGGTTACAAACAAACCAACACCATCTCGGATATTCAAATTAGCATGAGTCAAACAGCAGATGTTGACAAAACAAACATGTCCCAAGCTTCTTATGATGTTTAGCTTTGAGCAGAGGTTAAGTACCGGCGACCACCGCGCGTTTTCCTTGGCTAAACAATCGGTGTGCTGTGAATGGGATGGTGCATGATTCATAAGGCTTTGACCGCATTGCATTTCGAAATTGAAAAAAAAAAAACTTAATTTAGCTGCTGAAGTAGAAAGTTACTCGCTAGTCATCTTTTCAGAGTAGTCTCAGACTGTTAGGTACTAGTTCCAAAATTCAGGCTGCTGTTTTGTTACATAATTAATTTACCTGAAGCTTCAGCAATCCAAGAAACAGCCTCCTTCACTGCAAATGGCCCACTCTACTTTATCGCCCCAAAGCAGTGTTAAATTGTTATTTTTAAGGCAGAGCTGTAGCACCCAACTTTGACCGTAACTATAACGATAACCGGTGTTTTTGTATGGAATTTGACAGATTTTTGACGTTTGTTAAAGTTAAAGATGATGGTGCAACCCAGCCCGTATTTTTATCCTGTATCCATTCAAAACGTGTCTATAGATACTAAATTACTACGAATTGCAGAACAACTCGGTTATTTTATCCGTGGTTTTCGTAGAACTGATAAGGTTACAGGATATTGTACCCAACAGGCACGGATAATGGATTTCACGCGCGGAAAATAAAGTCCCATTGACGCACAAAGGTTTATCGACAAAAACTAATTGATGATACAAACAATGATGATGGCGCCGATGTACCATACTGTACCTACAGATGACAGCACATCGGACTTTACATATCGTTGCAAACTAGACCCTAATACTACTACGTTTAAGATGCTACGGTGTTTAGTTTGATGAATTGACGACTGTACATCCTTGTGTTGTGAACTTGTGGTCCCAGGGCAATATCCTTGCTCTGAATATGTTTTGGCAAACATTTTTTGTCCCCCATTGATTGGTTTAATGATGCGCGAAGGCACTATGCTTAACTAATGAAAAGTTCACTGAACCCATTGTTGTCGGCTAAGTATTCAATTATTCCTAGAATAATGCAAGTCAACGGTGGATCTATGAACTGTATACCGTTATAAAAAAATTTTAAGACAATGCGATGATTCACTAAGAAATGATGACTGTGCAAGTTTGAGCTGTTCTATTTTTGGCTAATTAAATTTTCCTGGAATTACGGCACTGTTAGTCTGGTTATCAGAATAGACTATCGCATAATCCTTTCTTGGACATTGTATTAAATATTAGTTCAGGTAAATTTGGAAAATAAGATAGCTTTAACAAGATTATTTTCTATCACACTTATTCCTAATTAACTAATAAATGCTGAGTTGCACCATCTTACTTTAAAAAACGTAAAAAATCTGTCAAATTCTATATAAAAAGCACCGGATATCGTCATAGTTACGGTTAAATTTAGGTGGTGCAACTCAGCCTAAATTATTAGAAACTAAGGCGGCCAACCGTCCCGCATTCTGCGGGACCGTCCCGTAATGACAGTTTTCGTTTCTAATAGAAACGAAAAGGATCCAAGTCTATATATTTATAATGTAGAGTTAATGCCAGAGATAGAGCCAAAAAATAGAAACTTCCATAATAGCAGAAACCATTTTGTTCGTTAAATTCCGATCAGGTCAACTGCTCTATCTAATAACAGCTTTTCCGTACAATAACCCACGTTTTAATTAGATTCCAGTTTTTGCAGCTTGACATTTAAACTTGATTTAAATTCAGCTTGGATGAAGTATGTAAAGCAGTTTTAAAGGCAATCAGGAACTAAGTCGAGTACATGCTTATGTACTATACATATTATTATATTGTTAAACTAGTTGAGATGCTTTTTGCATATTTTTGACAAAAACTTTAAAACCTGAACCAGTATTATTATGTAGAGTCTGTATCAAAGATCGATACATTGTTTCATAGACTTGATTCGTTTTTATTCGAGACGTAGGTACTTACGTGGTTACGAACACACACTGTCTAGTTACTTTTTGTCCCATAACGGAAGCACTAGGTCTGCATCTCATCTGGGAAAGTGATGATCAGGCTGACGTTAGACGAGCTTCACTTTACATGCTTATCTACCTAACTTTCTGAATTATTACCCATGATCAAGATCATAGTGAAACAAAACTCAAGAGTAAGTAGGTAGCGGCGGGCCTGATTTTGCCGCCCTCTGAACTTGCCGCCCGGGGCATGGGCCCCGACTTGCCCCTCTCTGGTCTGGCCTGGTGAAAGAACATATTGTGTTCTTTCACCAGGCCCGGATCTAGAGGATCTGTCATTCTCTCTGTTCCCAGTCGGTGCACTCTTGCCAAAGAGGTCGTGGTCATCATTGTGAATCATGATGAGTGATGAGTGAACACGTTACATACGAAAACTTTATTTAAGCATTTTCATTTTTATTCTCAGTCCAATGGGAGCAGAATAAAGGGCAGTGCGGAGTATGCGGGGACGCGCACCATCTGAGCGAACCGAGGCCACACGAGGCCGGTGGCATGTACGGGAAGGGGATCGTCACGAGGCACTACAGCGTTGGACAGGTTTGTGATCAACTACTTTTTGAAGAACCTAGGATACGTGGCACTGGTCAGATGATCAGATTCCATCAATACAAAATGTATAGAGATCCAAAGTTGTTCAAACATGATGCGGTCTGCCTGCGTTATTTTTAACCTGACTGCAGGCCGCAGAATGCATCCATGTGTCAAATCCTAAGAGTACCTATTCAAAAATGCTGCTGCGTTTCGCGCTACCCATAAGCTTTCAAAATACCATTTAAATGTTTAATGGGAAAAGTAGTTCTGTCGCTCATAAGTTAAAGAGACAGGCTATACTCGTACATATTCTGCATTTAGTTACACCACAGAATAATAATAAGTACATACACATAATATGTCTGAAATCATCATCGTTTACAGATCAAGTTGGGGTGGACTAAAATTTACCTACATTTGGTCACTTTCAGGAAATAGAAATAGAAGTAGAATTGACTGCCAACCATTTGGGGACGTTCGTGATCAAGATGTGCCCGAACAACAATCCCAAGCAGGAAGCCAGCCAGGAATGTTTTGATAGGTAAGATTAGTTAGGTACCTACTCATTATTTCTCTTATGATGTTAATCCATAAAAAAAGTTTCTCGAATCTCTATTCGACCAGTCCAACACTGACACTATTATGCTATGTCGCTTCTAATACATAGGTATGTTAGGTGTGGGTTCACCTAAAAAAAGTCAAGCGATCGATTGGGATTGAATTGATTTAGAGCTTCTTATAATGTTGAATCGTCAAAAAAAACGGGACTATTCCCACCTCTCCTGTGTAGCCAGGATCATAATCATAATCATAATCATTTATTTATTGCTTCATAAGTGGACATAGGTGGTGATCTTAAACTTAGTCTCAACTTATGACCCTGTAAGGGTGTTGCAAATCTTGTATCATCTGCAGCTTGACCGCCATGAAAACCCAACCAATGAAAGTCAAGTTTGTCCCGGGGGAAAGTTAAACTGTCATTGGACCCGCTACGAAATTAATCAGAAGAACATAGGAGGAGTTCGAATTTAATCGGCAGTCCAATGCTGACATCGTTAGCCGTTAGATCGACGTTTTAATCTTACAAGTGTTCTAGTAATAATCATATTCGTTTCCAGGCACCCCTTGCACATATCAGGCACGCGGGAAGACCGGTTCCTCATCCCGCTGGACACGGCTAAGAAGGAGATCTTCAGGTACCGGGTGCGGCTGCCGCCCTACGTCACCTGCACGCAGTGTGTGCTGCAGTGGACCTACTACACTGGTGAGTGATCCAGCCCAGTCTTACCACGAAAAGAGAAGAGAGAACTATAGTAGGCAGAGAAGAGTGAGGCTGAGGCTATATTTCTATTCCACTTTGATCACCTGTACGGCTAGCACGAAAAACTTTCGAGTTCGAATCGTTTGCGTATTCTTTACAGCGCCCTTGTGAATGTGTCGTAAAGGGAACTTAGTATGAGAAGTGGATGCACGAAACTTATTTTGAGAATCAAAATTGTCACGTTATCGTTTAATTCGAAGGTTGAGTATCGAATTTTGTCGAATACGCAAACGATTCGAAGACGAAAATTGTTCATGCTAGAGGTACAGGCTTTGATCACCCAGGTGATCAAAGTGGACTCCAAGCAAAAGTTTGGTGTCCTTTGATCGCCCATGGATAAGATTACCTGGGTAATCAAAGTGGACTCCAGTTAAAAGGCCATGAAAGCCCAAATTAGGCAAAAAGATTGTGCATATAAAATAGGTAGGTCCTACAGGTGGTGGTGTAGGTAGTTAAATTTGATTAAGTTTATTACAAGTTTTCCTTTTAGTCTTTGTCGTAAACTCACATCATTTTAGGCTCATATATTCGATTTCTTAAACATTTCGCTCGGGAAGTGGCGATCACGAGCCGGAAGACGTAGCGTGGGCAGGCCTCCCACTAGATGGACCGACGATCTGGTGAAGGTCGCGGGAGGTGTCTGGATGCGAGCGGCGCAGGACCGGTCTTTGTGGAAATCCAGCAGTGGACATCTTTCGGCTGAAATGAACAAACATTTCGCTATACGTTTAACAGCAGCTTTGTCAAGTCAAAGTCGACGACGAATGTCACACCATCGGCACAAATGACCTTCCAAGCTGTCTTCAGGTAACATGTGGGGCATCTGCCCCAACGGGACGGAGGCGGTGGGCTGCGGCCGCTCGGAAACCTTCCGCAACTGCGCCGACGTAAGCGTGGTGACCAGCACTGGAGGTCTACCACCAGCCTTCGCAGACCTCCGGAGGGACTACCCCTTCCTGCTCTACTACCGGGACTTCAGGATGCCGCAGAACGTCTATCCTTTGGTCATCAGGTGAGTAGAACATTTTAATGAAGATTTTTTTTCTTGCATCTTGACTTGATATTTGGCAGGACAAGATTATTTCTGTGCCATGTGATTTGTTGCAACATGTGTGTTCGTTACAGCCCGCTGTAAAGATTTAGTTGCTCCTTAACTAATATAATAAAAGTTACACACGTGTTGAACACTACAACCCGATTGAGTTCACTGCGCACCTGGCAGCCGTGACGTCATATCGCACTGATACGGACGTTGTGAACGCGGGGAGTTGTACGGGCAGAGTAAATAAATACAAATGAGTAGGTCATCTTCGTAGGAACGCACGGGCGCGGTTTGTATGTGAGCACGCAAACACGTATGCGGCGCGCACGCACACACTGACAAAATTTAGCGGTGAGGTCAGGCCTGGCTCACTCCGCGCGGTACATCCGATAATTACCTACAGCGAAGCGCCCCGCCGGCGGGTATTATATCAGTCGAGTGTCACGCGCGCGCCCGTCAGGACGCTGGCGTGCGTTGTAGTATGATTATAATTCTATGATCGAAGTATTATTTAAAAATGGACATAAAGAGAAAGAAATATTGTGCGGCGTTCGGGTGTTAAAATTCGAAAAGAAATCTACCGGATTTATCTTTTTTTTTCGCTTCCCAAAGATGCTGAAAGGTATGTTGGCCATGTAGGTAACCAATAATTCTTAGGATAGTATAGGGTATTTCTTCGGAGGCAAAATTTTCGATGTCTTTGGGTATAGTTCAGTAACCAACTAACAAAATGGCATGCAATATTTTTTTTCCTATAGCTTAGCTATAGCCCTATCTGGCGCAAATTACATTTTTGACATAATTGCTGTCTTTATACAAATTAAAAATATTTGAAGTGTGATTCTCTGATTCATATGGTGTGTCCGTTAGCCATTTTCCGGAACAAAATGGTTGATTTTTTTTTGTAATAATATGATTATTTTCTTAATATAGAGCCAATTGTACCTGAAGATTTTAAATTTTATTTCTTTTTTTGATTAATATGTAACAAATTCTGATTCATATGGGCACAAAATATTTAAACGTCGATATCTTGAAAACTGCTTTACAAAAACGAGTCCCTTATCCAAATATATGTTATTGGGTGTACCTATTTTCATATGAGTCTATGTTACAGACCTAAAATTGAATTTGAAATTTGTCCATATGAATCAGCCGAAGAATGCAATTTCGAAGAAGTGCCCTATAGGAACCTAACCTACCATGACTACTGCTCAGAATTCGTTCGTTCGTTTCAGCCAAATGACGTCCACTGCTGGACAAAGGCCTCTCCCAAGGTTTTCCATAATGAATGCATACTTACCTACATACGTACCTCATTACAAATAAGTACCTAGATTAATTATTTTTTCACTAGACAGCAACCCTAACAGCGTAAGAAGAGTTCAGAGGCACGCGATAGAAAGAGACAAAACTTGTAGGTGAATAAAATTGTAGGTACGTAGTGCTGTGCGAGCTGAATTCCACTGTATCGCGTCGTAGCAAGACTCGCATTTATTTAAATCGTCTTGCGGAGTAATCCTTCTGTACCTGTACTATTACTTATTCTGTGGTGAGGTGCGCCGAATTTTGTCAGTGTGTGCTTGCGCGCCGCATACGTATTGGCGCGCTCACATACAAACCGCGCTCGGTGCGTTTCTATGAAGATGACCTACTCATTTGTATTTACTCTGGTACGGGTGAGTGCGAGCGAGAGTCGCATTCCAGTGAGGTGCGCAGTTAGCTCGATCGGGTTATAGGTGTACTCATTGTCTCGTCACTCTTCACTCTATTTATTTATTTACTTTAAATGCAACAGTTGGATGCTTGTGTTCAATGCGTTGTATACCGTTACCAGTTTGGTATGTACAGTTTGTGAAACATATTGATCAAATTATATTTGTTAATCGTATCGCACCTCATACTATAAACTTTTTACATTCTATGACTATTTTCTATTCTACGTATGTATGAGACTTTTGTATTAATTTTATAGCAATTCACCATTTAAAGCTGAAAAAGGCGTTAACATAATATTTTGTATCTAAGTATATTATGAATTACTTTTACTGAAAATTATCTTCTCATGTCTAAAATTTCTTTATGCTTTTTCATCATTGAACGGCTGACTGAAACTTAAATGTCAAATAATATTGTACAAAACTAAGCAAAAAAGACCACAACATTTAACACACAAAAAGTTTCAGTCAGCCTCATATGCTTGATATTTCAGAGAAACTCGTAAAGACTCCATGATGGGAAGGTTTCAAGTTATTAGGTAATCACGCTGCTGTATCAATTATTTCCATACCATTATTTCTATCATATATTTTTCTGTATCATACAAATTGTCATTAACGTGCACTTTTATAATGTGTTGAATTTTTTCAGCAACGATATATCCGACATTGACGAGGACGATAGTAAACCGCCCGTTATTAGGTACCCTCAGATTTGTTGTGAATGTCGGTGATGGCTGTGGATCCGGCTTTTTGTGAATAATTTCTCTGTCTTTGAGTCTTCTCCGTAGATGAAAAGGGTGGATCCAGAGGGATCAGACACTTCCTGAAAGAAACTTTTTTTAAAATTGCTACATGACTAACGTAACGTAAAATAAGTTACGGGAAATAGTAACTGATAATAATTTATTGGGAGAAACGATTACTAGCTGGATCTGCCCTTAATTTCTAGTGTACAGTGTCAGTAACAATTAAAACTTTTTAAATTGTTTAAAAATGTATTCGTTACTAACTTGTTAATTGTGTTTAAATGTAATTATTACCGTTACAGTAGTATTTATTCTATCCTTTTTCTAAACGTAGTGACATGATCCAGAATATTTTCTGTCACGATTAAGCAAGCTTGCTTTTATATTTAAAGCCAGCCTGTTTAACCCATAAATCAAATGTCTTCCCTATGTCGAAAAGATTGCAGAACTACCTAAATCAATTTGCCGGGGTTTGAACTCAACTCCATTAATGCGTTTTCCCAACGAAACTTCAGATTTAATCCTTTATGTAACTAAAATACCTATCTGATTAGATACCTTTACCTTTAACTCACTTTAGTCTGTGTAAATAAAAACAAATGATTAGATAGTCTAACTGCCTGCAATTTATTTGTCACTAAACTTGTACTGCTGTCGTGTTAACTATTTCCACTACGTTTTGTTTTGTAACTAACTAACACCTGTAGAAACTTGATTTATTAGAGAAATATTGTGTAAATAAATCTAAACTGTCAAGTAAATAATGTAAATAAAGTAGGCTAACCAAGTTTTAGTTTTAACAATTTAACATGTTAGGAATTATTGGTTTAGTAATTCAAAATTATTATTGTTATTAATACGAGTACCTACTCTTATTGTACGTAACAAATTAAAGACGACAGCACATTAAGCTACACATTGAAGTATCTTATGTATCTTATCTGAGCTATGTGCTGTGTGCTGTCTCTGTACCTATCTACATACTGTTTCAGGTTTGGGTTTTATAACTCTGGTATGAGATTATGGCTACAAAACATAATTGCTTCTATTTTCTAACACACTTTTTGAACGTTTCAGGGACCAAGTGTGCATACCGACGGAAGGTTTCCGGATGATCCCCGGCATGCAAAACTGGTGCCAGACCAACTGTCTGCGGTACCCGCCCAACTGTCCATTAGCTTTGTGTCAATGCCCGTGAGTAGTCAAAATTAATATGGTTGAAGAAATTACTCCTAACATGCCGATTTGCGGTAAAGAATGCATGGTTGGGTCCACCAAAAGATGGCACTGCCTGTCATTGAATCGCGGTAGCGAGAGAACATCTCGTGCTACGTTGTTTTTTAAGAACATTCAGTGAACTTATATACGAACATGGAAAAAAACTGCTCCCTTTTATAGGCCAGTAACAAAATGCAATCTGTCATTATGCTAAGAAGTAAAAGGAAAAAATGGTTATTGCACTCGAAGCATTACTTATCTCGCTGAACGATTTGTGTCAGAGCACCCCTGCAAAGATTGAACTCATCTTTCGTTTAGTTTTTGGCTGTTTCCGCACTTAGCCCTCTGCCATTGTTCGTGTTTTTTTTTCTACATATTCCAACCGACCCAGATCACCAGGAAGACTGGACTGTTTCTAAAACCATCGTATTTAATCATTCCAATTCCAATTCCCAGACAAGTGTGCGAAGCCGTGGGCGAGATCGAG